CTTCTCACACATTTATTCTTTTATGTGAACTTTTAAAAAATAACTTTAAAAATCAGGAAAGTAACAAATGTTTGTGGTAAAAGCATTATCAACTGAAATGTACCAAACAGAAAGTGAAAGTACCTCCCTCAAATCCCATTTTCCAGAGGTAACTATTGTTAATATTTGCTGTGACAAATGAACTTGAAAATAGGCTATGTTTTTAATGTCAAATCTGGAGTAGGATGTTTGCTCTTGGCTTCTGGTACTTTTTATCAGGTTGAAATATTCCTTCTTAAATGAAAGAGTGATATGGGCCAGCCCCGTGGCTTAGCAGTTAAGTGCGCGCCCTCCGCTACTGGCGACCTGGGTTCGGATCCCGGGTGCGCACAAACGCACCGCTTCTCCCGCCATGCTGAGGCCGCGTCCCACATACAGCAACTAGAAGGATGTGCAACTATGACATACAACTATCTACTGGGGCTTCGGGGGAAAAAAAAAAGGAGCAGGATTGGCAATAGACGTTAGCTCAGAGCCAGTCTTCCTCAGCAAAAAAGAGGAGGATTGGCATGGATGTTAGCTCAGGGCTGATCTTCCTCACAAAAAAAAAAAAAAAATGAAGGCATGATAGAATGTCATCATTTTCCAATCTCTAATGCAATAACAAATCTAGGCAACACTAGGTGAAAGGTGATGGGGGAACTTTATAATGAATTAATCAGACTGAATCTACTAATCAGTCTTAACACTGCAAAAAGACAGACCATGTGTTTCTGGTACTTTTTATCAGGTTGAACCATTCCTTCTTCTTTTTTTTTTTTTTTAAATATTTTATTTATTTATTTTTCCCCCCAAAGCCCCAGTAGATAGTTGTATGTCATAGCTGCACGTCCTTCTAGTTGCTGTATGTGGGGCGCGGCCTCAGCATGGCAGGAGAAGTGGTGTCTCGGTGCGCGCCCGGGATCCGAACCTGGGCCGCCAGCAGCGGAGCGCGCGCACTTAACCGCTAAGCCACGGGGCCGGCCCGAACCGTTCCTTCTTAAATGAAGGAGTGATAGAATATCATCACTTTCCAATCTCTAATGCAATAACAAATCCAGGCAACACTAGGTGAAAGGTGGTGGGGGAACTTTATAATGAATTAATCAGACTGAATCCACTAATCAGTCTTAACACTGCAAAAAGACAGATGATGTGTTTCTGGATAAAAATAGACAGATGCTAACGAAATATTCTTGCCAAAAAAATCGAACCTGAATTTGATCAAGTGAATAGATATAATTACCTTTTTATAAGAAATTCAAGAGACAGGAAAGCGTTAAGTGACCTTGAGATGTAATCAGCAAAATCCAGAATGTAGGAAACTTTGAAGGACAAACAACCCAATTTCTTCAACAAATAAACTGCAAAGAAAAAAAAGAAGGGGACCTTATAGATTAAAAAAAGACTTAAAGGTCACATTAACCAAAATGCATGGGTAGACTTGGTTTCATATTTCTCCCCTCCTTTAATTAATGTTGTAGACAACATAAACAGATTTCCTGCTATCAAGCTTTCCTTGCATTCTTAAAATAAACCCTATGTAATAATAACACTTTCAGATCCGTTTTCCTTGCATTTCATTTAAGATGTTTACATCTATACTCAAAAGTGAAATTGATACGTAGTTTTCAAATTTGGTATCAATGTTGTGTTAACCTTATAGAATTAGGAAGCCTATATCATTATGTTATGGAACAGTGTAAGTGACATAGGAATTATAGATTTCTTGAAGATTTGACAAAACTTAACTGTAGATCCCTTTGGTCCAAATATCTTTTGGGGGAGGCTGAAATTTGACTCTTTTCAGTTTTTCTAGTTTATGATCTATTCAGGTTTACTACTTCTTGAGTCAGTTTTGGTAATTCACATTTTCCTAGCAAAAATATTTCATTTTTATCTGGATTTCAAATTTGATGGCATAAAGTTGTACTTAATGTTTTCTTAATATCTCATTTTGCATGTCTAAGATTGTGTAAGTTTTTTTAAAAATTTTTCTTGATTAAATTTGCTAGCAGCTTGTCTATTTTATTGATCTTTTAAAATAACCAGTTCACAGCTTCATTTATTAATTCTACCAGGCTATTGTTTTTGAATTCAAGCATTTCCATTTTTATCTTTAATAATTAGTTCCTTCCTCCTTTCTTTTGCTTTATTTTGTGGTTCTTTTTCTTAGCTTCTTGAATTAAATATTATGGATCATTTAATTTCAATCACATTACCATTATAAAAATAATGAAAGCTAAGAATGTCCATCTAACCTCTTCAGCTATATGCTATTGGCCTTTGAAATAATGATTACATTGTTGGGCACAAAGTTCCTGTGTTATTAAAGTCTGCTACATCCTCCTACTCAAACTACCTGGGATCCATACCAACATCTGGCAGTTTGTTTAGAAACACAGAATCTGGGGCCCCACCCCAGATACATGGAAGCAAAATCTGCATTTTTACAAGATCTCAGTGATATGCACATTAATGTTGGAGAAATACTGCTCTACATTCTTTTTCATCAGATAATCTGTGAGAATGAGAAGGATGGCATATTAATATTTCCACTGTAATTGTAGTTTCTCAGATTCTCTTTATATTTCTAATAATCTTTGTTTTATAAAGTTTGAAGCCATATCATCTGATGAATAAAAGTTCATAATTTTTATATCTTCTTGGTGGATTACACTTTTTAATTGTATCCCCCCTTTTTTAAATTTAATTAATTATTTTTTTCCCCCCAAAGCCCCAGTAGATAGTTGTACATCATAGCTGCACATCCTTCTAGTTGCTGTATGTGGGACGCGGCCTCAGCATGGCCGGAGAAGCGGTGCGTCAGTGCGCATCTGGGATCTGAACTCGGGCCGCCAGCAGCGGAGTGTGCGCACTTAACCGCTAAGCCATGGGGCTGGCCCAGTATCCCCCCCTTTTTTAAATTAAACTTTCTTTTGAGATTCATATGCAGTTGTTAAGAAACAATAAAAAGAAATCTTATGCACCCATTTATCCAGTTTCCTCCATTGGTACAAACTATATATAGATATTGTAAAACAATAGTACACCACCACAACCAGGATACAGTCAAGATACAGAACAGTTCTATCACCAGGGATCCTTTATGTTGGCCCCTCCTCCCCAACTTGGCAACCATTAATCTGTTCTCCATTTCTATGATTTTGTCATTTCAAGACTGTTATATAAATGGAATCATATAATATGCAACCTTTTGAGATTGGCCTGTTTAATTCAGCATAATTCTCTGGAGATTCATCAGAATTGCTGTGTGTATCAGTAGTTTATTCCTTTTTATTGCTGAGTAGTAGCATGGCATGGATGTACCAGAGTTTGTTTAATCATTCACCTGTTGAATGACATCTGGGTTGTTTCCAGTTTTTGGCTATTATGAATAAAGCTATGAACATTCATGTACAGGTTTTGTGTGAATGTAAGTTTTCATTTCTCTGGGACAAAAGCTTAGGAATGCAATTCCTGGGTCATACGGTAGTTGTCTATTTTTTTAAGACACTGCCAAACTGTTCTTCAGAAGTAGTTGTACCATTTTACATTATCATTAACAATGTATGATCCAGTTTCTCTGCATCCTTACCAGCATTTGGTGTTATCACTAATTTTTATTTTACCATTACACTTATAGATTAATTTGTGGAGAATTGATATCTTTATTATGTTGAGTTTTCCCATCCATGAACATACTATGTCTCTCCACTTATTTGCATCTTCTTTATTTCATCAACATTTTGTAGTTTTCAGTGTGCAAGTCCTGTACATGTTTTGTTAGATTTACACCTAAGTATTCCTTTTTTGTGTGTGTGTGAGGAAGATCAGCCCTGAGCTAACATCCATGCTAATCCTCCTCTTTTTGCTGAGCAAGACCAGCTCTGAGCTAACATCTATTGCCAATCCTCCTCCTTTTATTCCCCAAAGCCCCAGTAGGTAGTTGTATGTCATAGTTGCACATCCTTCTAGTTGCTGTATGTGGGACGCGGCCTCAGCATGGCCGGAGAAGTGGTGCATCGGTGCACACTCGAGATCCGATCCCGGGCTGCCAGTAGCAGAGCACGTGCACTTAACCGCTAAGCCACGGGGCTGGCCCCCTAAGTATTCCTTTTTGTATGTGTGAATGGAATTGCATTTTTAATTTCGGTGCCCCAGTGTTCATTGCTAATACATATAAATATAATTGATTTTTTAATGTTTATTTTGTACCCTACAACCTTGTTGAACTCATTTATTAGTTCTAGGAGATTTTTTTGTAGATTCCTTGGGATTTTCTACATAGAAAATCATGTCATCTATAAATAGGGACAGTTTCATTTCCTCCTTTCCAATCTGTATGCCTTTTATTTCCTTTTCTTGCCTTAGTGCACTGGCTACAACTTCCAGTACTATGCTGAAAAGAGTGGTGAGAGTAGATATCCTTGCCTTACTCCTGATGTTTTTAACACTGTAACAACCCTATGTCTTAATGCTTTTTAACATTTAAATTCTGTTATACAATAATACTTAACACTGCCCTGTTTTCATTTGCATATTAACTTCTACTCCTTTCCCTATACAATTGAAGAGGATATCATTTTTTTAAAGAGGATATCTTAAAAGAAATGAGATCTTTTCCATTCTTAATGTCCACGATCCTCTTATGTATTCTCTTTCTAAATTCAAGGAAAATATACTGAAAAGGATGTCGATGTCATTATTAAAATCATTGTCTAATGATGAATTCCTCCCCAAACACACTTAGCAAAATATACATAAGTGTGAAAACTCGTAAGTACAATTAAATCCACATATTGAATAGTTCCAGCTGAATTTTTAATTTAACCAGGAATTTTAATTAGTTTGATACAGAAAATGAAGAACCCTATTTCCAAGTGGAGGAAAACTTTCTTTAAAGGAAATGTTTCACAGCCAAATCAGATGTATGGAACAGACATTAAAAAGTAACAGTATTTGTTTATTTTTCACCCCAGGCCTTTCCCCTGGTTTGATCTGACTGCTGTGCAACTCAAGGAAACTCCCTTTAGCCAGCATCTCTCAACCAGTACTGCTCTCCAGGACCACCTTACCCAACTATACTGTGATTCATTTGGTATCTCTCTAACCAAAGAACAACAGCCAGTGGTTTCCACAGGCTCTCCATCCCAATAAGAGAAGAGACCTCAGGAATCAGGATTTTTTCTCCCTCTACACTGGTTGTGCCCTGATCATCACAAGTGACAGTGGGATTCATGTGACTGTATGGTGTTTGCCATATGTTAGGCATTAAGGAATTAGAAAATTATACTGATGGCTCTTTAACATGTAGAATAAAACAAGAGTTCCTTTACATTGCATATTTGGGTGTGTCTGGGTTTTGGAAGCAAACAAATGAAACTACCTAACCTCACACACTTAAGTACGCTGCTTCCCCAGGAAAGCCTTGTTAATACAAATTCTTTCTCTTCTAAAAGCTAAATTAAATGAGTTATAATGTCATTATTAGACAGTTATATTCTGTAGCTTCTTTTCCTGTAGCAGTATGTAGCTGACAAATGATATAGCCTGATTTTCCTCCCATTTTGGATAGAGAAGTAAAATGTGTGGTAAAAATCTTAATTGAATTAAACTCATTTCATGCTTATTTCAGCTATCTATGACTGTTCTGGTACTATCTTATTTAAAGCTGTTCCCATTTAAACCCATAAAACCATCTTTAAAAATAGCTGGCCCTTATATTAAATGGCTAAAAAGAATTTTGCAAAATATAGATCTTAGTCCTACAATGCAAATTTATTTCCTTTATGTTTTGCAAATACTTTGTCAATTATAAAAGAGTAGAAAACAACAGCAGTGACCATCAAGCTGAGAAAGGATGACACTGACTATGCTTTGTCATTGAACAGAACCATTGTTTGCTAAATGCTAAAGTGCTTTTCATCAAAACCATTCACTATACATGTAAACCACCATGGTCTTAGGTTAATCATTTACATTTTTCTTTTTTGCATAATTGTGAGCCAGGCAAACTCAATGGTGTGGTGTTGAATGATCTGAGATAAAATTTTGTTAGTTCAATTTGGGAAAAAATTAGGTTCATCATCAAATATTAACACTTGGGATACATACTAATTTGAGGCACTGTTCCTTCTCTCAGGAGGAAAAAAAAGAAAGGGATTCCTTTGACTATTCATTCAAGTGTAGGGAACTGGACAGGGTACATCATTGCCCTTCTGAATTATAGAGGTCCCATAGTGGTTTTTAGGATTAAAAAGTCAGACTGGGAAGAGAAAGTGCAGTTAAGTCTGTAAAACCAGAGGGGAACTTGCGCCACTCAAGCAACAGGAAGTATTTTGTAATACGGAAACTAATAAACAGAAACCTCATTAACTAGGACTGGGGGTGGGGCAAACGGGGGAGCCCTACTTTGCCCTACTTTGCCCTACTTTGATAGCAGAGCCCAACAGGAAGAAGAAAGACTGCCTCTTCTTGACTGGCAAGAAGCTCAGCCAATGAGAGACTGTCACAACTCAGCCAATGAAAAACCACTACACTTCCAACTTTCAATTCCTCCAGTGTACTTCTTTTATAATCGTCCTCCCAAATTCCTCTTCCCCTCTATAAAAGGGTTAGCTCTTCCCCTTGCTGCTTGGTACTTGCACGTAGCTCCCCATGGTTGCAGACCCTGAATTGCAATTCTTTGCTGATCCCAAATAAATCCATTTTTGCGGGAGAAAAAATTGGCTGTCTCTTTATTTAGGTCAACAGTAATTTCTTTCGAGCAGTCCAGTCATGGGTAGACTCTGGCCTGAATTTCATTTTATAAAGGTCTGGAAGGGACCACATAAAAAAGCCTATGGTCAATGGTACTTCTATAAGCCATGTTGTTTGTAAGGAAAAATACCAATCTAAAAACATATATTTAAAAATTTTTTTTCTAATGCCAAAAGAGAAAAAGAACTTCCCCCTCCTTTTTCTTAAAACATTTCCTTTAGAAAACTTGTAATTTAAATCCTTTTTCTCTGTTTTTGAGATTTATGTAACTTTTTTAAAAAACTGAATAAGCCTTCTGCCATTTTAACATCCCAGGACTATGTTTTGGGGGCCTTGGAGCTATCTCTTTGAAATGGGAGCATGGAGGAGGAGGGCACCTTGTCTCCCTGACTCTGTGGGAGTTTAGCCCAAGTGCCCTGCTCCAAGTAGTCACTTCCTGTTTGTTATAAAGATATGGAGAAGTTCTATTTTTCCTTTGGATACAGACAGTTAACTCACAGGTAATGGATTGTATCTGCCTGGCTAAATAAAAGGGTGAGACTTCCTTGTCTTTGCAACTCTTCAGTGGCTTACCTGTGATGTGCATCACAGTCTGGTTTAATGCGGATTCAATAATAAAACTGTTTCTTTTTCTACATTTCTACATTGTGGAGAGGATTATCTGGGTTGGCAGGAGATTTTGCTTTTAATTCTATTTCCCCAACATGTTCCTACTACCAGATACATTATTAGAATTTATCAGGAATTCTTACAATTACCCAGAAACAGAAATATTGCTATGTTTGTTTCAACAAGGGGCTAAATTGATACACAAATAAAGGGAAGGTGCTGTGACTGGGTGGGAGAATTAGGAATGGAGCCAGCAGTTCTCACTCTGATCCTTAATGAAGAAGAGAAGAAGAAAATCCAAAAAGACCACACTTCTTCCCCCAACTAATTTAGTTTGATCTTTCAAGCTAAGTGAAATGGCTTTTCCCTATGGTTCAGAGTAATATAATGCTTCATTCTCTTCAGGGGCAGTCATTTGTGGAGCATAATCCTGTAATCCTGCTGCTTGCACAAATTCAGAGAAGGTCAAGGCATCAGATTTTACCCCGGTATGACCTTTCTGCTCTAAAAATAAGCCGATAGTGTCCCTATAGGGAAGGCTGATGCTGCGTCTGAATAATGGCTCTTCAATGCCCAGTAGCTCCTGAGTATGCTGAGAAATTACCTGAAATACAAGGATAATTTTTTAATGGGACTAATCTGAAAATACAACTAAATCAAAGTTTTACTTAGTTTCCTCGGACTCTTGAATGCTAACCCCTTTAGTTATTTCTATGGGAAAATAAAATAATGAAATGACAGACTGAAAGGCTAACTAGCCTGGCCTTATTTGATTTATTATCTTTTTAAAAGTACCACTTACAGATGTTTCCAGGCCCCTGCATCAGATGGCCATAGATGAGTTCATTTCTTTCTTTTGGCTGAGCAATCTGACCAACCATATGAGCAGATAATATGTTCAGATTAGGAGCCATGACTATCTCTGAGAAGGTTAACAAATAACTTGTCTATAAGGGGCTCAGTTAATTTGCAACTAGAAAAAGAATCATTACTCAAATAATTATTCAATTTGTTTGACTAAAAATAAATCCCAAACAGTAAAAAGCAGACATTGAAGTTCCAGCTCTTTTCTTAGTATCCATACTTGTATATTCTTTTAAAAATCTTTTGCCACAATTTTCAGTGTCTCTATAACATAATTGGTATTCATTAAGCACCATATCACTTGATATCCTAGATTAAACTGTCACTGCATTTTCTTTTTTTTTTTTTTTAAAGATTTTATTTATTTATTTATTTTTCCCCCCAAAGCCCCCGTAGATAGTTGTATGTCATAGCTGCACATCCTTGTAGTTGCTGTATGTGGGACGCGGCCTCAGCATGGCCAGAGAAGTGGTGCGTCGGTGCGCGCCCGGGATCTGAACCCGGGTCACCAGCAGTGGAGCGCGCTCACTTAACCGCTAAGCCACGGGGCTGGCCCTGTCACTGCATTTTCAATTCTGGCTTTAATCATAGGTCTGTTATAACATTGCTATTTGAATTCATATCCTGCATCTGGATGAGAATGTAGTCCATGAAATTGCTGCTAGAACACAGCCAGAGGAGTATGTAGAATTTTTTTTTAGTTTAAAACTACTGGCTGTAGTCACAAGGCTGTAAAATTCATGCCACAGACAATTCTAAACCTGATGCAAAACTGCCCATTAGCAATGTATTTTAGATAGGCAAGACATCTTTCTTCTCAAATCTTACTTGAATTGGTTTTGTTTAGACTCTACAGATGGTTTGTGGGTAAAAGAGAGAGTCTACATGGTTGCCTTGCATTCCCAGTGGGAATACTAATTGAGGTCTGTAGCAACTGAGGTTTCTGAGTTGAGATTCAAATTACTACAGGTGGCTCTCAAGAATTCTCATTTGTAATCAGTGCTGCTCAGCGTTGAGCACCTCCTTTGGTCAGCACCTCCCCAACTCTCCTTTAGAATGCCCCTTATGGGAAGAGGTTATTTCACAGATTCACTGAGGTTTACAGATGGCGCCCCCAGGAGGGATCTTGTAGTCATAAACACATTCGCTATTAACCAAAAGAGCTACGTGCTCACTGTTGGCCAAAGAGGCCAGTACTGTTTAATATTCAAATGTAGAAATTAAAAGTGTTATAAAGCTATTGGTTACATGTGGAATCTGGAAATATAACCTAACCATCTCTCCTCTAATTCGGTGATTCTTAAGGTATGTCTGAGGTTCATGCATGGACCATGAGGGTCGTCTGATGGGCTATAAATTAATCTAAAACTGTGAGTTCTTTCTTTAGTTCTGATGAATAACAAGTAATAGACTTTATTTTTGCCTAAGACTTAAGGCAACTTACTAGTAACTTACTTCAGTTAGTAAGGATTATTAAAAATAGATATTCATGAAGATTATTAGAGTTTTTTAAGTATTCTTAATTCCACATTCTAGGATGGTGGCCCATACTCAATGCTTGGCATCACTGCAGAGCATCTACTTCACATGGCTTCAAGTAGATAATTGTAACACCTGTAGTTTTCAAGAAGATTCTATTATTATATCATCATTGTATCTTGTGTTGATCATGGTTTTTGAAGGCTGCTATTCTTGCTTTTATTTGTAAACTACTGATGGTTTTGTTTTATCATTACTAATTTATTACATATTGTTTAGTTACCTTAGAGTATGTAACTATGCACATTTGCAAAATTGGAACCTAGAATTTACTTTAATTAAACCTAAAGACATAATTGTATGGTTCAAATATGAATCATCTATACCACTATTATTAGAGCAGATGTATAGTCGCCTTAAAATCTGCTTGTTGATTCATATAACAACATGGATCAATCTTAAATGTATTTTGCTAAGCGAAAGAAGCCAGACTCAAAGGCTACATATTATTTTATTCCATTTATGCGACATTCTAGAAAAAGGCAAAACTATAGGGACGAAAAACAGATTAATGGTTGCCAGAGATTGGGGTAGAGGGATGAACTGACTACAAAGGGGACACAAGGGAAATTTTAGGGTGATAGAATTGTTCTGTATAGCTCTGAGCTGGTAGATACATGACCCTGTGCATTTGTCAAAACCCATAGAACTGTACACCACAAGAGTGACTTGACCTTAGGCAAATTTTTAAAAACTCAGGATATTTTGGGAACCCATGATGGCTTACAGGCTGTGGACAAATGAATCTACTATGACAAAGTAAGACATAATCTCATTGAAGAGGTAGAGAAGAAAGGAGGTGACCTAAATAACTTCAACTTTGAAAAAGAGTGCTTTATCTAAGTAGTGTAAGGCTAAAGACAAAAAGAACTGTACACACACACTGTACCCTATTTGGTCAATTTGTTTCTCACAGGGATACCTATTTATAAATAAGGAGAGCCAGGTCTCTCACTGTCAGAGAAAGGAGTTATAAAGAAGCAAAAGGGGATAGGAAGGATGGGAAGACTAGAATGAAGCCTGTGGTGCTGGACTAGAGTCAGAGATACCAATATGAACTCATGCTTACAGAAATAAGATAGATATTTGTGTATATGTGGGTTAGTAGAGTGCCTAGAAGCGGTGACACCCCAGCAGAAACAAGCACAACTAGTGCTCACATCTTAGTTTCTAAACACAATTCTCTGATAAAAGCAACCAAGGCTCCTTGGAGACATGGCTCCTTCTAGGGCTGCAGCAAGGAAAGTACAAAATGAGTCTGAAGTAATGTGTAGTGCCAGAAAGTGCTAAAAAAAATAAGGGGAGCATGTCAAAGGACACAGGAGCCAACCTGAAAGAGCCCTCAAATGGGGGAGAAGGGAGAATTAAATACAAAAGAGTTCCTTAAGAAGAGTTCCAATTAAACATGCAAGGAATGAGGGAAATAGAAAATCATCATTAGGACAACTTAGTAGTACTGCTGCACTGATGAATGCTAAAATTAGTGGGCAAAACTTTAAGGAGAAACAGGATATCTGAATAGCCTCAAACTATCTCCTGCAAAATATTTATTATCGTGGTGGTTTTACTATATGTCCGTAAACTCTTTGATACTCCTCCCTCCAGGAGGTGGAGCTTAATTCCCCTCTCTTTGAGTGTGGGCTGGACTTAGCAACTCACTTCTAATGAATAGGATATGAAAAGGGAAGGAGTAACCTTATAGTGAAGAAACCTGGCAGACACCACCTTAACCAAGTGATCAAGGTTAACATCTCCAGTAAATAAATCATGTTGAAATCATGTACTCCCAGATATGATGAGAAGGCTCATCACCTCTGTGATAGTCTCCCCCAAAAAGCATAACCTCATGGGAAACATGAGACAAACTAAAATTGAGGGAAATCTACAAAATACCTGACCACTACTCTTCAGTGTCAAGGTCAAGAAACACATAGAAAGATGAAGCAACTGCCACATATGGGAGGAGACCAAGGAAACATGACAGCTAAATGTAAGATGGTATCCCCAATTGGATCTTGGAACAAAAAAAGGACATCAATGGAAAAACTGCAGAAATCTGAATCAAGTCTATAGTTTAATAGTACTGTACTGACGTTAATTTCTTAGTTTCGATAAATGTACCATGGTTACATAGCATGTTAACATTAGGGGAAGCTGGGTTAAGAGCATACAGGAACTCTCTGTACTATCTTTGCAACTCTTCTGTAAAACTAAAATTATTTGAAAATTAAAAGTTAAAAAAATATTTTTGTCTAGTGATAACTGCTGACATTGTTAGTGATAATTGCTATGAATTTGTGCTATTTAAATAGTTTGCCACAAGGCATGTGTAGTAAAATTGCTGAGATGTTATAAGGCTTATAAGGCTACATTTTGTAATATAAAATCACACATATGAAAAGAATAGACAATTCATTTATGTTCTTCTCCAAATATTTATCACTGAGTTCTTTTGCTCACTTGAAGAATAGTTCAAAATATTTTGAGAATTATTTTCTAAGAGAGAAAGCTGAAGCAAGTGTAATGCTGTCTTGTCTAGCTTGTCCCTAGAGTAAAGAAGATTGACTTTCGCTCCCCTTTTAACCAACCTAATGCATCACTACAAATGGGAAGACAGGACAGTGGTTTCAAGGGCTCCCTTGGCCGGGTGAAAAGAAGAATTCGTGTTTCTTTCCTCCTGCACTCCTCACCAGTCTCACCTATACATTTAGCTCTTCTCTGGTCATCTCAGTATATTGTAGGAAGGGCAAAGGAAAGGTGAGTTATTTCTGCAGGTGAAGGATGAGTAATTGCAAAATTAAGGAAGTAAAAGGAAACTGAAGAGAATAGAAACTGGCCATAAATTAACTGCAAGGCTTGTAAATAGGGTGCACAGGTCAAATGAGCTTCAATTTCTTAGCAGCACGTCCAGAATTCTGTACTCTCAAGCAACCTGCTCTTTCTCTGCTCTTCCCACTCTCCCAAAGCCCATGAATGACGATATGGGAAAGTTAGCGTGACAAAAATAACTACATTGCTTAAGTGTTGTTATGGGATAAACTATGGATGTACTAGGGGCTATAATTAGAATGGCGGGATTAAAAATGCTTAGTATATCAGCATATTATACAATATATCAGCAGTAAGGAAGGTAACTATGGCATACTTAAGTTCATGTATGATCTCTAAAAAGTTACCTGTGTCATAGTGTATAATTAGTTTTATTATGTGGACGTAAGTGTCAAGTAAAGCTTATCTAACATACCTTTGAATGTCTTGACCTTTATATTACTCTAGTGACCTCAAGGAGAGGCCACATTTGTCTGGTGACCTTGATAATAAGTATTCTAAAGTTTGCTTATTCAAACTTCTCAGGATATAAGGATAGATCACTGGGTTCATCATTTACTCTTGAGAATTTCAGATTTTTAAGACCTCTTGTTTCTTGCAAGACCAGAAAAAGCATAATTCGAATTTTTATTATTGCATGTTGATATTGTACTTTTGGAATTAGAATGTCCAGGAAACAAAATGAATTGGCAGACTCTTAAAAATGCTTTCTCATGATAAGAAGCTGAAATTCTTGGTACTTAAATGTTTCAGGAATTTGGATTACAAGTTACTATTTTGCTAATTTTGTTCCCTATTTTTATTCAGAAAATTCAATACACTATAAACATAAGTAGAAATTAGAGCTCATAAACACATTGTATTACCTTTGAACATAAAAAGAGTAAGATATTTAGCTGGTGGTACTTGGTAGCTATGAGAAGGCCTGGTTGGAAATAACAATTTGTGATAAGTGATCCTTTTCTACATTATATATATGGAGGTTCATGGTTAGAAAAGTGTTCATTTAGAGAGGCAATATACTATAGTGGTTTATATTAGATTTTATTTATTTATTTTTTCCAAAGCCCCAGTAGATAGTTGTCTGTCATAGCTGCAGATCCTTCTAGTTGCTGTATGTGGGATGTGGCCTCAGCATGGCCGGAGAAGCGGTGCGTCGGTGCACGCCTGGGATCCGAACCCAGGCCACTGGCAGCAGAGTGCGCGCACTTAACCGCTAAGCCACGGGGCCGGCCCAGTATAGTGGTTTAAAGAAAGCACGGATTGGGAAGTCACACAGAAGGGACTTGAATCCTGGCTCTTAAACTTATTATCTGAATGATCTTGTGTAAGTTGCTTCATCTTTCTGGGCCTGTCTTCTCTTCTGTCAAATGGGGATTAAGTGAAATAATGTATGTTTAGTGCCCAACACACAGTAAACACTCAGAGAAGATAGCTATTAGTAGAGTTCAAGAGATTAAATGTTCACTTAGGACTATGTGTTCAATAATTTAAAAGAATTTCTTTATATCTTGTTGCCAGGAAAAAGGTTTAGGTATTAACAATATAATTTTCTTATTTTCTAAATCCTATGACTTATGGAATTATACGGTTGTAAGGCCTGATCAAGAGTCAGCTAGGAAACAAATTCCAGAGCCTACCCTAGATTTAACAAATCAAAATCTCTGGAGCCTGGAGCCTACGAATTTTTTTTTTCCCTAAATTTCACCTGATTCTGAAGACTATCCAAGTTTGAGAACCACTGAGGCAGAGCATTTATGGGCAAGAGTATAATCAATGAAACCACTGGTATGTGGGGGTGGGGGGTATTAAAGGAAAGGTTACAAATGAGATTATGTATGTGAAGCTTTGTAAACTATAAAACACTATAAATGGAGAGTACTGTTATGTAAAAGAATCATAATCATGGACTGTTGGTGCTGGAAAGATCTTAGGAAATTGAGGTCCAGAGAGCTTAATGCAACTTGTTTCAAAGTTAGGTAGCAAAGCAGGCAAAACACGTATGGTGTTATAAAACTGCCAGATGGGTGGCAGTTTAGAGACATAAAACATATGAAGGCTTGGGAAGAGAGGTTACTGTGGGCTGGAAGGTCAGGAAAGACTTCGTGGGGAGAAGAGAATTGAGCTGGGTCCTGAAGGATGATTAAGATTCACATTAGTCATACAGGGGAAGGGGGAACTGAGCAAAGACACAGAGGGAGGAATGCACAAGATAGGTTTGTAAGGGTGTAGACCTGGGTGGCGGGAGCAGAAGACTCACGTAAAGGAGTGGTAGGGGAAAGAACGGTGGTTGAAGAAAACTTGTGGAGGGTCTTGAATCCTAAACTAAGAAGTTGAGACTATCTTGTTAGCAGAGGAGATCCAAAGGTTTCTGAGTTGTATATAAATACTTGAAAGGTGAGAGTCTAAAAGCAGAGCCTTTGAATCCAAAGGGCCTATGGGCAGAGGCTAAAAGCAGGAGGCTAGTGGAATGTTCTAGGTATGAGGTGATAAAGGTCTGAACAAATACAAATGGAAAAATCAGATGCTATAGGAGGAACTGACAGTTCTTGGGATCTTGGTGGGCATCAAAGGAGAGAGAGGAAGCAACCACTGTGAGCCTGGGGGACTGGGAGGATGATATCACCACTGACAGAAACAGGAGGCCAGCTTAGAAGAAAAGGAGGTTGGTTTGAGACAGATGGTAGCATTGTTACAGTGCTCTATAGGGAAACTTTATACACAACTCACCTTCATGTCCTCAAAATCTGTTATCCCCATCTGAGGGAGGTTTGAGCAGTTTACATGGATGAGTTTTCGGCCACTGATGAAGTTTGTGGTAAAACACTCCTGTCGGTACAATGAGAACATCACTCAAAAGACATACAGCAAAGAGAGAGAGAGGGAGGGAGGGAGGGAGGGAGAGGGAGGAAGGGGAGGAGGCAGAGAAAGGGAGGGATCGAGGGAGGAAGGAAGGAAGGAAGGAGAGGAGGGAGGAAGGGAGGAAGGAAGGAGGGAAGGGGTAGGGAAGGAAGGAGAAAGGAAGGAATTAAAAGAGAGAGAGAAGGAGGAGAGGGAGAGAGGAAATAAATAAATTATGCTTGTCTCTGGTTCTATACTGAGAAAAATTTTAAATTTAATTTTAAAGATTTTATTTATTTATTTTATTTTTCCCCCCAAAGCCCCAGTGGATAGTTGTATGCTGTAGCTGCACATCCTTCTAGTTGCTGTATGCGGGACTCGGCCTCAGGATGAACGGAGAAGTGGTGCCTCGATGCGCACCCGGGATCCGAACCCGGGCCACCAGCATCGCAGTGCGCGCACTTAACCACCAAGCCACAGGGCCGGCCCATAAATTTAATTTTAAATTAAATTCAGGGGCCGGCCCAGTGGCGCAAGTGGTTAAGTGCACTCACTCTGCTTCAGTGGCCCAGGGTTCGTGGGTTCCGATCCCAGGTGCGCACCGATGCACTGCTTGTCATGCCATGCTGTGACAGCGTCCCATATAAAGTAGAGGAAGATGGGCACAGATGTTACCTCAGGGCTGATCTTCCTCACACACACACAAAAATAATAATAAAAAAATAAATTAAATTCAAATTTAATAATGCCTCATACATTCCATCTAAGCTCTTGATTAAATTTCATATTGTTCCTTAAATACTTTTTTTTTTTTTTTTGAGGGAGATCAGCCCTGAGCTAACATCCATGCTAATCCTCCTCTTTTTGCTGAGGAAGACCGGCTCTGAGCTAACATCTATTGCCAATCCTCCTCCTTTTTTTCCCCCCAAAGCCCCAGTAGATAGTTGTATGTCATAGTTGCACACCCTTCTAGTTGCTGTATGTGGGATGCGGCCTCAGCATGGCCGGACAAGCGGTGCGTCGGTGTGCACCCGGGATCTGAACCTGGGCCGCCAGTAGCAGAGGGCACGCACTTAACCGCTAAGCCACCAGGCCGGCCCTCCTTGAATATTTTTTTGGCGTGATACAACCAGCGCTTCTTTCATGACTCAATTAGATTTTCAAGTATGGGGGTACAAAAGATTTCAGATCTTGTGTGGTTTTGTGGTAGCCTAAGAACATAGTTGGCATCAGTGAAATAAAAGGATTCACTCTATCTTTTAATAAAACTATTTTTGGTTAATTGGCTATTTAAATGAGTACTGTCAGGTGCTCATGATACATATGACATATTTGGGGCAGACACTTAAGATTAATAGTACAAGTTCAAGTTAAGGGAGCTGACACTAAAACAACTTGACAAAGTACCAAAAAGTCTACCTTGGACAAAATCTATTTAAAAACTACACTTTTCTATGAAAAGAGACCTATATAAACTTCTTAGTCTTGATTCAAGGATTGCAGAGAAGTATAATTACTGGAATAAATAGGAAAAACAAAGAAACGTGACCCTCCCTTCCTCCACCTAAATACAAATATACATCAGTGGAAAGGCCAAAATTAAAATCCAAGATACCTCTACTATAGTCCAGGACTTTCCTATACTCCTTCTAGTGAAGAAGAGACAAGAGCTCAGAGAAGTGTAGAGGAATAAGAGGTAGAAGGATGAGAGTATGTGATTTCAAAAAACCTTACTTTTGTATACCTTGTATTGAGGGAAGCCTAGCTGGCTAATCCACTCCGCAACTTCCTCTGGGCTCCAGTTAAGATACTCAAATTGTAGCTCAATACTTCCTTTTGGCTGGGTTTCTTTGTCTTTAGGTTCCAGTTTCTTCAACTCTGGGGACAAATCTACAACTTTCTTTTCACTAAAGGACTCTCTTAACTCCCTCTGGGATTCTGAGGGATCTGAGTATAAGTCATTATTGGTATCAGTAAGTTCAAACAGTTTCTGGGGCTCTTGAGAAAACTCATAATCTGTACTCACTGAGTCTACTTCACTCACTGTAAGAGACCCTAACACAGAATCTCTTGTAACATTTTCAGTTTCTTTTACTGACAACTTTCTTGTTTGATAGTTGGAGTGCTCCCGATCGCCCTTGTCTACAGAATGCTTAAATTTGATTGGTTCTGGCCCATCTTCTTTGCCAAATTCTACATATGTTTCTCTTCTAAGTAGTAGTTTGGCTTTATCTGGTAACTCTAGATCTTTCTCCTTAGTTGGTTCTGTTTGTGTCTTCTCTTGAACCTCTGATTTGGTCTTCTGTGGTAGCACTTGACCCATTTCCTCAGTTGATTTTCTTTTTTTTTCCTTTGGAAACTCTGGTTTAGTCTGTTCTGGTGGCTCTAGACCTTTCTCTTCAGTTGACTCTCTTAGTGTCTCCTCTGATTTGGTCTTCTGTGGTGGTGCTAGTCTTGTCTCCTCAGTTGATTTTCTCTGCTTATCTTTCTGATCTGTTGGTTTAGTGTCCTCTGGTGGCTCTAGAACTTTCTCCATAGTTGACTTTCTTTGTGTCTCCTCTTGAATGTCTGCTTTGGTCTTTCCTGATGGCTCTAGACCCATTTCCTCAATTGGTTTTCTTGTTTTTTCCTCAGAAAATTCTGATTTGATCTCTTCTAGTGGCTCTGGAACTTTCTCCTCAGTTGACTTTCTTCGTGTTTCCTCAGTAGACTTACTTGGTTTCTGGTCTGGAAACTCTGGTTTAGTCTGCTCCGATGGCTCTACCCCTTTCTCCTCAGTTGATTTTCTTTGTGTCTCTTCTGGAGGCGCTAGACCTGCCTCCTCCATAGACTTTCTTGGTTTTTCCTTTGGAAACTCTGGTTTAGTCTGCTCAGATGGCTCAATCTTTTTCTCTTCAGGTGACTCTCTTTGTGTCTCCTCTGGAATCTCTAGTGTGGTCATCTTTGGTGGCTGTAGATCTGCCTCTTCAATTGATTTTCTTGGTTTCTCACTTAGAAATTCAGGTTTGCTCTGCTCTAGAGATTCTAGATTTACTTCTTTATATTGCTCTCTAAATGATTCCTCCAGAACTTCTGGTTTGGTCTCTTCTACTAACTCTAACCTTGTCTCACTGATTGTGGCCCCTGAAACCTCAGACTCCGTTTCCTTTTCTAGATGTGTTTCTTTAGCTGACTCCATGAGTACATCCTCTGTATCATCTGGTTTAGCATCCTCTAGTGGTTCTAGGTCTGGTTCCTCAGGCTTTTCATCCATAGAGACCTCCAAATCGTTGAAAAGCTCTCCTCTCATCTCTCCGGATGTCTCTGACTTTACCTCTTGGGGAATCCCTGGCTCGGTCTTGCTAGAAAGGTCTATCTCGGACTCCTCGGGAATCTCTTCCTCCGACGTCCTGGCTGGTTTTAGGTGTGGGTGTACATTCTCAGCATTCTCTGGCGCCTGCTCTTGGGAGTCCTCTTCCTCCATCTCCGGCTGTGGCTCTTGGTCAATTTCTTCAGGTAGCTCCGGGCCTGCCTCTGCCGTGATGTCTGGTTCGGCATCTTCAGCCATTTTGAAAGGTCCAGGCAGTTCTGGTCTCTCAGACCCCAGGTCTCCTTCATCGTGGTCGGAATCATAATCTTCTGGGACTTCAGCCATGACGCAGATTAGCTGACGCGCCCAGGCCTCCTAGCAACCCCAACTTCCGATAGCGTCTCTATGGAGACCACGATTTCCCGCCGGGTCTTTCCGCATCGTCCCCCGGTTTTGTTTGCTCTTTCAAGCCCTGACTTGAAAAGCCGGCGAGCAGAAGCACGCAATAACCCTCCCGGCGCCCGGTCTCCAGCCTCCGCGGGCCGGAGCCCCTGCGACCGCTCGGGGGCCGTCGCGCCGCCCCTTCCGGCCCGCGGCTCCGCTCGGCTCTTCCC